ATTTTTACAGATCATAAGAGCCTCAAGTATATTTTCACTCAGTCTGAGCTAAACATGAGACAAAGGAAATGGTTAGAATTGATAAAGGATTACAACTTCGAAGTCCATTATCACCTAGGAAAGACCAATGTAGTGGCTGATGCTTTGAGCTGAAAATCACACCAGGTTGAGGAAACAACATTGTCTCTCAACCATGCAGAAGTGCTGGCTCACATTGCCTTGACCTCAGAGTTGCTTGAGTAGATTATTCTAGAGCAAAAGCAAGACCCCCAAAGAAATTCCCCACATCAGAAAATTGATGGTCGAGGGGCGTGGCCCTCACTTTAGTGTTGATGAGCATGGAGTAGTGAGATACAAGGATAGACTGGTGGTCCCATCCAATGAGGAGCTGAAAAGGAGGATTCTTTTGGTTCTTATCGCTAGATCTTTATTTTAAATTACGCTGTTTATCATTTCACACTCTGACATTTGGTAATGTAATAATGTAATTTTTAAGAAACTCGGATGTATGAAATGGGCCTGTATTGTAACTCGTTCTCATTATTAGATCCTTGGGAAAAATGTGGATCTTTCGGGTTCTCCCTTGGGGTGTGCCCGACGGATACTGCCCGCTGTAGCTTGCTTTCGGGGTGCTTAGTATCTGGTGGAAGACGAGCACCTCCGTAAGCGTGTTATTTCGGACGGTTTTGCTACACCAGCAACAACTTGATGAGATAGAAATATGCTGTGACAAAACAAGGCAAAAAAGATCTAACAAAAAAGAAATTCAGTTAGATTCATTTTCTTACATAACCTAAAACATCCTCTACTAACTTGATTAAACTTATTTAGATAAATTGAACATCAGCAGAGTGTTCTATTTCTTCTCCAAAGTAAATCATTCATCAAAACTGAATCGCTCAAACCAAATAGAATGTTTGAAGCCAAATCAGAATGAGTACATTTTCCAGCAAACATGTTAGGCAAACTCCATCCAGTGGTTCATGGTAGGTTGATGGAAACTGTCAGAATCTTGAAGCACTGCAAGCCAACCAAAAGACAAAAATAGTGACAATAATAACCCCTAGATAGTGTATATGCTACGAAGTAAATACAAATGAAATACACAATTTTAATTTATCTGCTACTCAAATATTGAACAACAAGTAACATTTATATGAGATTCTTGTTTATGGGCAATAGCCAATAGACCTCATGATTTTGTTTTAAAATTACTCTGCGATTTCCGGTTTATGACTTTCTTAGACTTTCAGGTCAGTTTGTGATAGAGGAACCAAATTTGTTTTTAGTTGAACCAATGCAAAACGCTTTGTTATCTTATGTCTGTTTCCTTTGAAGATATTAAGCATCAGTTTGTAGCTACTTGCCTGGCTTAGGTAGACTGCCGCTCGTTGCGGGATCTCATTACTCATATCAGCTTGAGCTCTGGGATCTCGTTGCTCATACCTGTGGAGAAAGAAAACAAACAAAAACAGAGCTTGACACCTCATTGTAGCTTCAATGACACGCAATGTTAAGAAACTGTAAAAGAATGTTTTTTTCTCAACCATGTGATCCAAATAAGCATAGGTCGCTGGGCATAAATTTGACAAACAAATTCAAAAGCTTTCATGGGAATTTCTTCGAACATGTTACCTGTGCTAGTATGTGGAAGTCCGCACGAGGAAAGAAACAAATAAATACGACGCGGTTCTTGCTGTGCACGCGGCCGGAGGAGTTGATGCCAGAGCCGACTTGGCCAGCGAGGCCCCAGCGACTCAGCGACCGAATGCGCGCGCCTGGCCGCGCCGCTCGATTCTCCGGATCCGAGCTCTGGTGCGACGGGGAACGGGCTTCCGGTCGGCTCGCGCGACGCGGCACCAGATCCGGCACACCGGTTGCTGCTGTGCTGAGGCGCAGCGAGACGACGGCGAAGAGCGACGCAGCAGCGAGACGACGAGCGCGACGAGGGCCTCACGACGCGGACGTAGCCGAGGGAATCCGCCACCGCCGTGTCCGCCCTGCACGGATCCAGAGCCCGAGGGCGGCTGCCCGTCACCGACACCCACGCACGCAAGGCCGTCGGGATGGGGAAGGGCACAGCGGCCGACATCGGGAGGGGATGGGGAAGGGCGCCGCCACCATGGTCGCGGGGAGCAGGGCCAGCGGCGCGGCGGCTTTGGTGTCGCATCCGGGGATGCATGGGAGCGAGCGGCTTTGGTGTCGCACCTGTGGCGGGCGCGGGCGGCGGCGGCGCGGCCTGCTGCGGGCGGGCACGGGCGCAGGGTGGGCGCAATGGGGGCGCGGCGGCGGTGCGTCCAGAATCACGGGAGCTGGTCAATGTTTCTTTCCTTAGGGAGACGGGCGTAGGGGGCACGGAGAAAGATCGCACGGGCGGCAGGCAGGACGATGGATGAATGTCGTACAAAAAAGTGTCCACGCTTTGTTCTTTTTAGTTGGAGGAGACTCGGGTGGCGCAAATATTAGAATTTTAAATTAGTTGCTTCAAAGCTAGTCTTCAACATCACTTTCATTCATGTTACCTATTCTGGCATTTCGTGGTCAGAATAATCCAAAAGTTGGCCCCAGGTTTTCTACGACAAGCACTCATCATAAAATATAAGCATTGATGAGGAAATACTTTTGACCAGTGATAAAGCTCACCTGTTCGCATCGTTTCCGTGGCTTATAAGCGACTGATGCTGTTTTGTTGTGAGAGAAAAACATTGTATCATAGTTGATAAGCATGGTTGATACGATCAAGCGAACAGGGTGGCTATTGATACGGGCTTGATACTAGACCAATCTAAATTGTTTGTTCTGTTTCTACTGAAATTCCGTTTGTGTGCTCACACATTCATTTCATTCACAGGGGAGAGGAAGTGCAGTGTCTTCATTGTGGTTCTTGCAGTTGTGCTGCCTACTCTAGCTGCACTGAACCTTGTGTTTTGCTTCTGTTTCTGGAGGCGGCGGCGACCAGTAGCACAGGCAAAGCAGTCACGTAGTATGTTCCTGCAAAATCCTCCCACTTTGTCACAGCCTGAAACACTTCATGGAGTCTGAACTGAAAAGAAATGACACATCCAATCTGTACTTGAACAGAGCCCATGTATTCCACTGAAGCAGAGGACATGGAGACGGTGGACTCCATGATGATCGACGTCTCCAGTCTCCACCCTGCGAGCCGCAACAGGGAATTTCGACGAAAGCAACAAGCTCGGCGAAGGCGGGTTCGGCGCGGTGTACAAGGTACTGAACAATCAATGAAGAATGTGCCTTGGAGCTCATGACTAACAACAGTGTGATTTGTTCAGGGCGTTCTCCCGGACGGCGACGAGATAGAGATGAAGCGGCTGTCGAAGAGCTCGACGCAAGGGGTGGAGGAGCTGAAGAACGAGCTCGCGTTGGTCGCCAAGCTGAAGCACAGGAACCTCGTCAGGCTCATCGGCGTGTGCCTGGAGCAGCAAGAACGGCTGCTCGTGTACGAGTTCGTCCCCAACCGGAGTCTCGACCTGATACTCTTCGGTACTGATGATAAGCGTGAGCAGCAGCTTAGCTGGGAGCAGAGGTACAAGATCATAAACGGCATCGCTCGAGGCCTGCAGTACCTCCATGAGGACTCCCAGCTCAAGGTAGTCCACCGTGATCTCAAGGCCAGCAACATCCTGCTCGACGTGGAGATGAACCCCAAGATCTCAGATTTTGGCCTCGCGAGGATCTTCAGCCGAGACCAGACGCAGGCCGTCACCAGCCGCGTTGTCGGAACCTAGTCAGTACCCATGCATCTCTCAGTGTTTAGTTGTGCTCTGGTTGAGCTTCCCTGCTTAAATGGGTACATTTCTCTTTTCAGTGGGTACATGGCGCCAGAATACCTCATGCGCGGGAACTACTCCGTGAAATCGGACGCCTTCAGCTTCGGCGTCATGGTGCTGGAGATCGTCACGGGGAGGAAGAACAACGACAGCTACTACAACTCCCAAAAGTCTGGAGACCTCTTGACCACCGTAAGTGCAAACTGACAATCACCATTGTTGCTACAGCTACACCTTGCTGGCTTACGGTGAAGTTAGACCTCACGGTTACAATTACCCGTGCAGGTATGGGAGCACTGGGAGGCCGGGACGGTGGCGGAGCTGGTGGACCCGTCCCTGGACGAAAGCTTTCCGGAGGGCGACGTGCTGAGGTGCATCCACATCGGCCTGCTGTGCGTCCAGGCAGACCCCGCTGCCCGGCCGGTGATGTCGTCGGTCGTGATGATGCTCGGCAGCGACACGGTCACCCTCCAGGCTCCATCCAAGCCGGGATTCTAAGCCGGAAAGAGTGGCACTAACACGACCGTGTCGGCTGACGTGTCGCTTTAGAGTTTGCCATGAGAGCACGGGACGGCAAGGTAGCTTGTGCAAATCTACAGATCAATTCACAATTGACTCAGATTTGCTAATTGAAATATACGGCTTATGATTAGAGGGGCCAGTGGAAACATAACTGAAAAGTAAGTAATACAGACGCTAGAGTATTGCCCTGTGTTCTGTTTATTCGTACAATAATAATCCAATTGCTCTGGCAAGTGGCAACATGATGCTCCAAGGCTCATCTTGGTTCCAATTCTGTAATTGACACTTCATTTGGTGATATCGCCCCAGACGTAACGTTAGCGGTGGATTGGGAAGCTGTAGGATATGATTCTGAATAAACTGTTGAGTAGTAACCACTCTTGGGAATGAAAAATACTGGCTTTAGTGGAGCCTGGAGGGAGAAAGTGTTGCCGCTGAGCATGACGTTTACTGTTGACATCATCGGTCTATCGACCGGGTTATCCTGAACACACAGTAGGCCGATATGGACATATTTCAGCATCTGTTGCGCAGGAGCTTTGCCTCTCAGAGATGGATCCATAACCTCCACAATTGTTCCCATGGTCCAGTGCTCCCAAACCTGTATCAATTATCAAATGCAAATTTTGTTAGTGTTTTTGAAGCAAATTACTTGTGTAGAGAGTTTTGGATAGTAGAATGTCTTACAAGACTTAAGAGATCAACAGACTCCTCGATGTTAAAGGAACCACTGCTTCTTCTTCCGGTTAAGATTTCAAGAATTAAGATGCCAAAGCTAAAAACATCGGACTTTATAGAATAGTGGCCACGCATGGCGTACTCGGGTGCCATATACCCACTGCAACATGAAGGGAAATTCATTCTAGTCAAGAATAGAGGCATGGAGCGAGCTAGAAAGACCAAAAGCTTAACAATAAATGGTGCTAAAAAGTGTTTTAGGTAAGTGAGTGGGAGGCATGGTGGGCTGGTGGCCCCCTAGTTTGGAAGTAGACGTACTATGTTCCAACGACGCGACTTGTGATCTCTCGCGATTGATCCCCTCCAAATAGTCTAGCCAGGCCAAAATCCGAAATCTTAGGAGTATAATCAGAGTCTAAAAGGACATTGCTCGCTTTAAGGTCCCGGTGAATAATCTTCAACTGAGAATCTTCATGGAGATACTGTAATCCCCTGGCAATTCCATTTATTATCTTGACTCTGTTTGCCCAATCTAGCTCCATGTTTTTCTCAGGATCTGGCAAATGAACAAGAAACCTCATGTCAGAAATGCTATATTCTGATACTATTAGTTCTATCAGAAACATATTATTACAAAATAGTACCAAAAAGGATGGTGTCGATGCTTCTATTGGGCATGTATTCATACACAAGCAGTTTCTCATGTTCTTGCAAGCAAACACCAACAAGCCTAACAAGATTCTTGTGTTGAAGCTTGGCAACCAAAACAAGCTCATTTTTCAGCTCTTGTATTCCTTGCCCTGAACTCTGTGAGAGCCTCTTCACTGCAATTTCTTGACCATCAGGAAGGACGCCCTGCGTAAGTGTGAACCTTCAGTTGCTGAAAATGAAAATGCTTTATGAATTGGGCTAGTATGAGTGGCACCTTATAGACAGCGCCAAAACCTCCTTCACCAAGCCTATTGCTCTCAGAAAAGTTACCAGTCGCAGCTCTTAAAGTTGATATATCAAGAAGAAGTGACTCGATGCTCTCCATGTCTCCGTCATTAGTTGAATCTGTCAGAACATATATAACGAAAACACACATATATAATGCCCTTTACAATCAATAAAAAAAATACTCCATCCGTTACGAATTGAAAGTCATTTTAGCTTTTTCCAGATACATGCTTTTGCTGCGCACTAGATATACATTATGTCTAGATACATGGTTCTAAAAGCTATGTATCTAGAAAAGCCAAAACAACTTACAATTTGGACGGAGTGAGTAATATATAATCAAATATGTAGTGTTCTTTAAAGGTCAAGTATATATTGGTTCCTCTTGCAAACCCGTTCACAGTTCCAAATTGTCAAGACAGCTTACAAGATGGTGTCTGCTCCCTTGCTTGTTTTCTCCTCCTCCAGAAAAAACAGAGACAAACAGTACTGATAGCTAGCACCGCAGCAATTATAGGCAACACAATTGCTAATGCAATTCCTGTTTTGTTTCTGGTTCTTCCTGTAAACAAAGGCCACAAACTTCAGCAAAAAGCATGCTGCAAATCTTAGAAACAATTCAGCTATAATATGAACCACTTCGTACAAAACATTTTTTACTGCAATCAAGGTTCTTTTTAAGGTGCATATATAGACTCAAGCACTTGTAGTTGTAGGGGACTTTGGAGTCCAAGCACTAAGAACCTTAGTGGTACTAGGCCCAAACATTATGGAAATCGACCACTAGTTGAGTAGCAGCATGGTCCTTTGCAATATGCTATTTGCAAAAAGTTCCAACAGAAAAATAAAATAAAGATAACTTTACGACAAGTTTTCATCCTTTTCTGTCCAATTTCCTAATTAGCATATCATGCAGTGCGCCATGAGATAATTTAAAACACTTAACATTGATTAGTGCCTACTTATCCCCATTGGAAGTGGAACTAACCACATTGCTTTGTAGACTGACATACATCACTATGCTAAATGAAAACACAAGCGCGATTGAAATGGAACGGGCAAAGGCAAGGCGAACCATTTTTATCGTACATGATTTACATAAGAGTTGTGTGGCTTGTGGGCTGTGGCATACATGGTTGTTTTTTTAAAAAAAATGGATAACAAGGCTGTGGTTTTTTATTGATGCCTAGATGCATAGTACGTGTTTCTTCTTTAGAAATAACCAGAAGTCTTGTTGTAAAAAAAAAAAAAAAAAAATCCAACTAAGAAGTCTTCAGCATACTTTAATCGCTGTTTCTGGTCAACAAAGTAGTAAAGGATAGCGACGGGACTGCAGAGATGTCAAGGTCATCAAAGAAAACCGGTGTACACGGTTGTGTCCGCTACCAAAATCTGTTGACAATATTGTAAGTAGTTCCCAAATAATTGAAACAGAAGATCCACAGTTTCAGTCGTTTGTTTGGAATGGCCGATTCAACAGTCGTGCGAAACTAGTATAGTGGGCAACAAATGGAGAGAATTTGGGTTGTTTGAGCCTGTGCATGTGTTTCTCTTTTTCGTGTAATCGTGTTCTCGAGACACAACATTCCTGTTTTAGAATCTGATTTGAAGGAGACAAGACATCTAGCGCTAAAACCGAACTAAAACTAAAAACTTGGTGAATCTGTTGCTGACATCTCACCTGGTGGGGTTGCCGTCGGCGTCACGTTAAATGGCGCAGGAGATGGCGCCGGTGGCGGCGCCAGCGCTGGCAGACGTAGCGAGGGGGCTTCAGAGAAGAAAGAATACACCTCGTACCTGAAATTGCAGCGCATCCCTACAATCCTCCCGCCCTGCCTTCCGCTGAGATACTGCGGCATCGCCGAGATTATGCTCCCAAGGCAGCTCCGGCAGTCGGCGGACGACATGTCCGGCGTGCACTGCGTGAGCCCGTAGATGGTGGGGTCGCTTCTTGCGTTGAAACCCTCTTCCCCCGTGCCAAAACGTGACGCGTTCGCCGCCGCGTAGTCGCCGGTGGCGTTGAGGAGCACGGCGACGGCGGCGTCGAACGCCCGCACCGGCGAGCTCACGTTCTGCGAGTTCATGAGGATGATGGGATCCGCGTTGTTGGTGGTGCTGGCGATGAAGTTCTGGTTGGAGAAGCGGAGGTAGCAGGCGTCGTAGAACACGGCCGCGTCCTTGTCGTAGGCGCAGAGCTGCTGCGCGTCCTGGAACCCCGTGGCGACGCAGGAGCCACAGGCCGTGGCGTTGGTGTCCCCGCGGCAGAGCGCGAGCGCGTAGACGACGTCCGGGACGGCGCCGACGCTTCCCGCCGCGAAGAGGTTCCCCGAGCGGGACGCGTTCGCGGGGAGCGCCTTGGCGAGGCTTTCGAGGTTGGACTGGTAGGTGCTATTGGCCGTGTAGTTGCCGGTGTTCCCGCAGACCTGCCACGGCTGCGCAGAGGCCCGCGGCGAGAGGAGGAGGAGGAGGGAGGCGACGGCGAGGAAGAGGAGGTGGCCCGTGGCGAGGCGCGGGGAGGCGCCGCGACCCCACGCGGCCGTGGTCGCGACCATGGCGCTGCGGCTGCTCGAGCGTGGCGAGCAGTGATCGAGGTTGAGGAGGGTAGGGCCGACTGCCGTGTGCGTCGCAGTCGTTAGGGGGTTTGGAACATGGAATTATGGAAATGTGCTTGCTTATCCTGCTGCGCAACTGATAAGGAGAATGTTTTTTTCCTGAAAGACCATGAGGACAGTCGTTTGACTAGAATGGTAGGCAAGACCATTCGAGTATTCGTTGGGCCCGCAGGGGGGCAACGATGTGGATGACGTGCGGGGCCCACGGCTCACCGTGTCAATCCCAGGCACTTGCTGGGGCGGTGGTGCCGGGTGCGTTATGCCGGTATCAATATCACACCATCACTGTATCAGCGTCCAGGCACTCGGGACTTCAGAGTGCGAACGCTACACGTGCACTAGTCGGTAAGAGGAGAAAACAGGGCACTTGGAAGGAAAATTGGTGAGATGTCATGTCCCGAAGGAACTTGATCAGGTGGACCGACGGTCAACCGAGACCCTTAGTTCTCTTTCCAACAATGTTTGTAAACCTTTTTCCAAAGGTAGGAAAATTTATAGAAGTAGTTTGGACACTGTTAACGTGCGGTGGGTCCCATCCTCAACCTCACGACGTCTTCTCTCTGTGCCTTCTTCTCCCTCCCTGGCACCCCTCCTTCGCCGCCCTTGCCCCCGCCTCCTCGACCCCACCCTCCTCTAATGACAAGACGGCGCACCGGCAGCGAAGTCCTTGTCCTCACCCCCAGGCTTCCACCACCGGCGGCGGGCGGCTCCCTTTGCACCGTCTTGCCACCCGCAACCTGCCCCGCCCCCTCAACCCTACCAACCCTAATCACAGCAGCTTGCCGTCCCCCCCCCCAACCGCCATCTCCCACCACCCCACCCTGCCGTCGTGTCACAGCCGCCGCTACCCAAAGTATCCTTCTAAGCCTGCCGGTGAGGAGATGAACTTACCTCGAAACCCTAACTCCGGCCTCCAACGCCGGCGAGGAACCCTAGCCGCGGAAGCGTGAGCGCGGAGCGCAATAGAGTTTGCGAAGTAGTTTCGGATCAGACTTTGTAGTCTCCGAGCGTGTCTGGTTCTCTCTTGGCCAGAGTTGTCTAGCAAGGCGGCGCTATTAGGTGTCCAATTTCAATCCCTTGGAGTCAGGATCGTATGTCTGGCCGCCACGAACTAAGCATTGGTAAAGGCCCTGTTGATCCCATGATATATGATAGATTAGTTGGTTAAAATTAAGAGCAAAACTTTAATTAGATCACTTTAACTTATTTTTATGCTCTAATGAACTAATATATTGAACTTTTTATCACGTTGGCTTCAGACCATCTGTTTTTAAGACTCAAGAGCTAAAGTGGTCTAAAGTCTAGTGTTTAAACTTTAGACTATGAGATCCAAATAGAGCCTAAGCCTATCCGGCTTCACTCGGTCAATCGCGCCCTCTGTAAGTGTGTCTGGTTCATGTTCTAGACTTGGCTAGCTAGTTAAGGTCTTATTTGGATCTTATGGTCTAAAATTCAGTTGGCTATTAAATTTTACATCACTTTGGCATGGGACACAGATATGGCGCGACCTAGTGACACCCCTGCATGCGTTTGACTAGTCCCGCTGCGCTACTCGCCACTTACCATTTTTTTAACTTGTGGTCCGAAGCGCAACTGCAAGTATCACTTT